TTTACACGCACAGCAATTGTCTTCAACAACTTTCAAACATCATTGTCAACAAAGTAACATGCTCCACTAAGTATTTAGACTTATATGAGGTAAAGTAAAGACTGCAATGGGCTATAAAACAATATGTTCATTATTACATCTCTTGCCATTTTATTTACATCCTCTTAATTCCACTTAATCACCTTTAAGCACACTGAAGAGGGGATGTTCATTTTGTTCACTTTAAAATAAGTGTAGGTGTTAAGATGTGCATGTTTATAGGTCTGATCATCGGTGAGAGCAGCTGCGGAGGCGGCTTCCTGCTGAGCCTGCTGCAGGTGTCCTGGGCCAAATATATCTTAACATCTGCTATGGGAGGAACCAGTTTGAAAGAAACCCATTCAATTCCCCTCCTCTATTGATGAAGTGAAGCTGTAAAACATAACCTACTCAATTAGACACACTGTAAAAAAAAAAAGACAGGTTATAGTAAGGTATTTAGTGTGTTCGAGAGTCACATACGTTTAAAAAGAAAGCATTCTAATTATATTCTGCAGAACAAAATTGAGCCCTTGTTTTTAGTGATTTTACTATTATGAAGAAACAGTGTTTTCTATACGGACTAACCTCATGACCTCAAGGGAAGATTCAATACATGCTGTTTAATTAATATCAAGTCTTCACAGAAAAAACTGATTTCATATATTTACAACAAAGTCAAGTGTAAAAAAGAAATTCAAATTGGTCTTCTGCCTTTGCCAGCTGTTTTTTAATTATCCTTCACTTGGCTGCAGGATTCAAGGCAAGGACATCTGCTCCCCTCATCAGAGAGGCGCTCTATTTCGGAATAAATGGACTGCCAGTTGTAATTTCTCCACTAGTCACTCATCCTGAAAAAAAAGTGTCTCGCTTCTTTATCGATGTGATGCCTGGCTCTTTGTATCTTTTGTCCTTCCAGCTTCACTTGGCATTTAGACATTTAGGTGGGAGTCTTGTTATTCACCTAAATCAAAGTGTAGCTGCATGACTGTTTTTTGTAAGGATTAAACACACAATATTTAAGGAGTCAATTTGTGATCTTTAAAGAAGTTAATATGCATATTTTTTCACCTTTGGTTAAAATCTGTATGGCTCTTTTTTTAATGCTAAGATAAGCGTAGCCAATGCTTGCTGTAGCTTTACATGGAATAGGTGTATTTCAGAGTGACACCTGCAGACATACACTGCAAACCTGCCTCTTTGTTGGTTCCCCTTTTTTGCCCTTTTGTAATAAAGCCATTGCAATGTTTATCTGTGATAAACTAAAATGCAGGTTGACAGTAGAACTAAAGGTCGTAAAGTCTATGAACTGATAAACAAATTTCAGTCACACGGCAATAACTCTAGTTCAACATTTAGGAAGATTCATATGTTTCTTAAAGTGAAGTCTGCACCTACTAGAAGTGACATAAAAAGGAAATGCATATTTGGGTCACACCTTTTCTTTGAATTTACCTAAAATGAACGCTCTATTTTAAGAAGGATGAGATCATAAACGTATGATATGTTGCTTCTCTGGTTTTGGCATGATACATTATGTTGCAATATATCTAGGGGTTTCATTTATTTTGCATTTTTCAAAGTGTGGAAGTAGTCACCATGTGAAAATATAGCAATATGGCTGTCACCATATTTCTTTTGCGATCAGATATGACAGGAAAGGGTGGAGCTTAGCGCAACCGAACGATAAAATTAGGTGACCAAAGTGTTACAACACATTTCCCTGAAGTGAAAACAAATTGTGAAAGGGTAAAGGCTCTAAGAAGAAAACAAGGACAACACCCGAACCAGACAACACCGTTATATCAATCACAACATACCACTGACCTAAAGCATGCTTTGCCAATTTAATGTAAATGGTAACATAATTTGCACAATAAACATCACGCTACATGCTACGAGAAGAGCGATTGAGACCATCAACAGCAACAAATAAAGGTTTAACGGGTCAGTAAATCAAGTGAGAAGTCTCATAGACTTCTATACAAACAGATTTCCTTTTTTTTACAAATTGTAGAGTTGCTCATTGGTTTCATTTTCCTGGAAGTTGGCGCCTTGTGTTTGTTGCGTTTCCAATTTGAAGCCAAGGTGTAGTACCTCCAATACCATTTGAGATAATGAGGACGATAGTGTTGCTAAGACAGGTATTTCATTAGATGCAGGACACATTCTCTTGTCAATAAATAATTCAAAACCCCTGCGTTGTAAGGCGTCCTTGATATATTTGTTTTTTTTGTTAGCGGGGGGGGGGTGTGGAGCGGGTTCAATGGGGAAGTTCACCTCATGTGATTAGCTGGTGGTTGCTAGGTGACCATACTGGAAAGGAGCCAGCCAATTTGCAGCTGTTCAACAGTCGGGATTTGAGTCTTTGTGCTTCTGAGCCACCGCTGCTGTCCAAACCGTCTCCTGTACGCATAGCCGGTTGCTATAGGGATTACAGGGACATCTGAAAAATGACACGAGTCACGCATTTGCAGAGAGGTTGTTTTTGTTGTACTTGTAGTAGATTTGCTGAAAGGACAGTGGAATCGGTTTATCCAAAATGCACAACAAACAGGGCCTTCAATGGAAAGGATCAATGGGTTTCTTCATGTTTACAAATATCATGGACTATATAAGCAGAGGTGACATACCAAACCACTGCACACACGATTTATATGATTTATCTAAAGGGAGAAATCCTGACCCAGAACCTTCTTTACATTGCTGTACTCTGGTTTGAGAAATGCCTGTTTTTTTTTCTGTATAATCGCTGTCCTAGTTTTCTCCAGGCCAAAGGCATAGTGTATATCCAGCCACATTTCTCCACAGGGCAGTACAGTATTTCAGATATATAGCATTACAACATATATGTTCTGTACTTCTTTCTCTCAGACTGATCAGGTGTATCACACACCTTGCAGATGTCAATAACATATTGTTTTGTATTATACTTCCTGTGTATCCATATATACTACCACATTCAACTGCAATATGACGAGCTCAAATGCATAGTAAGACATTTTGAGTTAATTTAGAAGACAGATCTTCAGTAAAGCTACTGCTAGCAGCTAATTAGCTTAGCCTAGCAAAATGTCTTCTTGTGGTTCTAGGAGGGGTTATGTTCTGAAGTATTTGTTAATGCCACATTGACAACAAGATAGCAAGTTGCCGTAACCTGACTTATGGTCCAATTGTTAAAGTTGTGTTTTAATGCACTAGTGGTGACCAGATCAGGATAAATGTAAAGCCCATTTTGAAAACAAATAATTTCAGGTAGCCCTCACAGAGGAGAAAATATGGGTCAAAACAACACCACTCCACTTCCACAACCCATCAACGTGACAGCAGTCTCCGATCGGAGTCCACTCCCCCCCACCCCCACATTTATTCTCTCTCAGGCCCATTGAGGCTGCAGCACTGGTCCCATTACTGGATTATCACGGTCTCCATCCTAATTAACCCAGATGTGGATATTAATAAAATGAAAGCAGGTCTAGACTGGAAACGGGGCAGATTGAACAGAGAAGGTCCTGATTTCAGAAAGATCTGTCACACTCAAGTGGGACACCTTCGCCCCTCCTCTGATAGGGGAATAGAGTCTGTTTCTATATTAAAATACCCCCTGGCCTTTTGTAATTGGTCCCACCTCCCTTGGTGTTTGAGAGCAAATGAGAAGCTGAGAATATCCACAGGAGGGGAGGCCGCATTGCATGAAGAAAGAAGACAAATGTCAAGCTGATGGAAACATATGACAGCTATCACTTTTTGCTTTTTTTTGTTTTCTTTTTTACTTTTGTCTACATTAACTCGACCTAATTTGGGTTGCAATTAATTGTATTATTATAGTTGTGCTATTAAATGTGCTGGTAATTATATTTCATAGATCTGTCCTGCACGTGATCTGCCCGAATAATTATTTAAAGGGGCCCTATTCTGCTCATTTTCAGGTTGATATTAGCATTTCTTGCCTCTACTGTCACATGTTTACATGCTTAAAATGTTCAAAAAGGTTTTTATTTTTCTCATTCTCACTGCTTGTGCTGCTTTTTACTTGTTACGCTCCAATAGAAACCAGAGCCCAGTCTGCTCCGTTGTGATTGGTCAACCGCTTAGAGTTGTCCCGCCCCTTAGCCTATCACGTACAATGTGTTGGAGCGCTCACTACAGGAAAGGGAGACACTTAAAAAGCATATAATGACATCTTTGAAACATGTTGAGCACCATTCCTCTCATGTCTGTCAGTGCTAATGAAACTTCTTCTCCTTCATGATTCATGTGATGAGTGAGAAATGAGACTCTAATGTTCCAGGACAAGATGACAGCTGTGAATCTGGTGGGAAATACACAGAACAAGCTTCCCCTGATGGAGGGACTGGATTTTACAAGTTAAGGAACAGAACGTAACTTCAACAAGTGTCTCTCTCTGACAAATACAATTTGGTTTTCCTGCCTTGAGATTTATTTTCATTGCATCATCTTACATTGAGTGGGAGACCAGGAGACACTGGAGGGACGGACAGGAAACAATGGCGGCTCGGACGTGACTCACCCATCTGATTGTGTTTATGGTGCATTAACAAGTTGCATTGTCTTTCTCTAATGAGTGCTTAAATGAGCAGAGATGTTAGGGACACTGAAAACAGAGCAAGACCTAACTTAATAGACTAAAAAGGTTATTGGCTATAACAATTTAAACTTGAGTGGTGGGCAGATGGACAATAAAACAATACGATAATTATCGTCTTTCCAATTAATCCTTAAAAAGCATGTATTGAGATATACACTCTTTCATCGTCTATAAAACATTCTCAGAAAACCTGACCAAACTAAATTAATTTAAACTATTCACCTTAATCAGATGTTCCATCATTGGTTACATGAATGTACTGTTAACATAGTCCGGGTTTAACTGGATATATAATTGTTCTCATTTCATTTTGCACTAAATTAAATGAGAAAAAAGTATTTAATCCACACAACAATAAATGACTTTTACCACATGATTATGTCATATACACTTTTCATTTATTGAATTACCAGTTACTATCATGATTCATATCTTTACTATCAAGATACTGTATGAAATAACATGTATTGGATAGAAGATGTTGGCCATATTGCCCAGGGATAATACAAACAGACCACAAGGCTCATCTTGAATACTTTCTCCAACATTAAGAAAATCAGTCTTAACATAAAGGCTTAAACAAATAAAATATATATATATATATATGCCATTTAATTTCAGCGTTTTCCACTAATAATAGATAAATCCAATGGAAGGAATTGCACACAGCTCTTGGCCCCACAGTGGCACTCCTTTCTCTGGACCCCATGGTTATCACTCTGCGTCTCACTCTGTGTCCCAGCATCTCTCTGTGTCTCAGCATCCCTCTGTGCAGGCGCTCTGTTTCTATATCCTCCAGAGTAATCAAACGTCAGCTCCTCCTGAGCGTCGATGCTCCGCCCGGCAAACAGCGCCAGCCGGGGAACCACAGAGTGAACTCGGACCGGCTGCATGAGCAGGTTGGGCTGGCAGGAGTGGTTGAGAAAGCGTCCCACGTTTCCCACTCTGGCGGGGTCCACAAACGTCTCAGTGACAGAGCCTTCACCTGCGTGCTCCCTCACTGCGATGATGTAGTTATTGTCCTCCGCCCTTTGGGCCAGCTGTCTGCGTCTGGCCTCCTCAAAACTGATCACCTCTCCTGCGTACTCGCACACAAACGTCCCCTTTGGGATTGATTTGAGTGTCCGCACCCCCCAGCCCCTTTTTTCAGTGCTGTACACCTCCAATTTGAGTGTGAGGCCTCTCTGCACCACCCGGTTGGAGCAGGCATCGCCGCAGGAGCAGAGGGCGTTACACTCGAACACAGGGGAGCAGAAACCGGAGTGTGTTCTGTGCAGGAGTGTGTGTGTGCTGTCGTACGCCTGCCCGTGTGTCTGCAGGCAGGAGCAGCTCTCAGAGGAGCAGGAGTGGGACAGGCAGGAGCATCCGGGGAGGGTGACCTCACTGGGGTCAAGAGTGCCTCCTGGTCCCTGAACATTATCTGGAGAATACTGAAAATATGACAAGAAGAAAATACTTGATTTATCGCAAGGGGAAATTCACAGACTGAGCTACTGCCAGCACAAATAAATGTCAGGTAAAGGTTAAAAAAAACGGTAAGAAAAAAAACAGTTGTAACAATATTACAGTAGGTAAAAATATCCATGATTCCTGCACAATTCTTTATATAGCTTAAACAATTGAATGATTAATTCACAGGTTCCCGTTACTAAATAAATTGTGATGTTTAGCTGTTTGTCATATGTGATGGCAAACTGAAGGCTCTGGCTCCCAATGTACTTTTGAAGACTCTAATAAATCACTAACAACACTGCACTCTGGGAACGCAAAGCCCAAGTGAGTCTACTGTGAAAACAAATATGCAACCTTTGAATAATATTCCCTCGAGACATATCACATCAGATTTTCTCGGTTCATACTTATATATCATATCAATTTAGAGAATTCAACCATGGATCATGACATCTTGATTTATGTTTCATCAATGGATGTGCAGATGAATACATAAAAGAAAATAACAATCAGTTATCATTATCAAATACAGCTTTAGTTTCTCTTCATCACATTTTGTTATTATTATCACTTTCATGTCAATAGCATTATATATTATAATGAACAATAATGGTCTTTTAGAGCATCCTGAGCGAGGAGTGTAAACTAGGACAGCTCCTCTGGTTCTACAGAGGCAGTTATTTTTGATTTTATGTGCAGTAGTCAGAGGACTTCTCTGTAGCCGGTAATGATTTGCTGACATCTGATGGTGAAATAATGTACTTCATTTGATCACAGGTTATTGTGCATCTAATAGAGGTATTAGTTTCACTATAAAGCAAGATGTAGCTATAGACTGTATGTAGTTTAAATACATTGCATTGCATGTAGACAGAGTCAGTTCTCTTACAATACTCCAAATAGCGAAATAAGTGGTGAGCTACTAAACTCTGTTAGACTCCAATGTGTTCAACTACAGACACACTAAGTTACATTACCTGAAATTGAGGAAACGTCAGTACGGAGGACCTCTGCTCGATTAAAACAGGAACACTCTCAAGGCTGTTGCTCAAATCCACAAATCTGCAGTCAGAACTCATATCCGAAGTGTTGAATGAAACCAAACAGAAACATATGAGCTGGGATGTGAAGGCAGAAAAACTCACATTTCGAAGCTGTAACTTCCGGTAGTTAGATGACAGCCTAGCTCCATCTAGTGGCCTTTTTGTATTACTATACTACTGTAATTATAAACCGTGGTTTGACTAGGTTAAATCAAATATGCCGTCATATACTGGAGTTTGGGTTGTATCTTTAATAGTATTGTAACGGACTGGTTATAATGTTGATGTTTGATGTGTTTGTTGTTCAGAGTTTGTTTGCATTTTACAGAGTGTCAGTGAACGTGCCACTGTTTTGATGGACGGTTCTTGTGACCTGTAGCTGTGGGTTTGGGTGGGAGAGTGTTGTCTGGTTGGTTGGGGCTGGAAGAGGGAGGTTCCTGGAGGGGGAGACGCGGGAAGCGAGAGAAGAGCTAGGGGAATATGTGACGGAGAGTGAGGATATACGACAGAGTTAGTGGATTGTTTGGCGTGGTTATGGCCAACAGTAACCTGTGATCTGTATAATAAACTCCCGGATAAAGGACAAACCAAGCCTCCCTGTGTTCCTGTAGCGAGACGCTACAGTATGTAGCTGTTACCACTAGAAGTACACAAGTAAACATGGCCAAACAAATCTTAACATTGACATTTTCATTGTGTGGAAAAGTATTGTGGCAATAGAGAAAACATTGAAATATCCAGACAACTGCAGTAACGTCATATGGCCTGCAGATGGCAGGATAAGGCAAAGTACTGGTATTACTCTTGAGAACTGAATCTATGCATAGCGAGCAGGTAAAATTAAGAGAAATAAATGAGGTATCAATCTGTGAAATCGATAAAAAACATATAATGGCATATACAATTATTAAACAGAAATGTTCTTCTTAAAAGGCATAGACCTACCTTTCTTTTCTTTAAAGGGCCCATGTCATGCTTTTCCGGTTATTACCCGTCCCCTTGTGTGTTATGAAGGTTTGTATGCATGTAAACGGTCTGCAGTCAAAAACCCTCAAAGTACACCCTGTAGCGAGTAAAACTCTAACACAGAAAAGACCTGTCTATGCTGCCCCAGAACGCCTCGTTGGAGATCTCTCATTTTCCATTGTTTGCTTCCTGGGTTCTGTGACGTGTGAACACCCAAATCAACAACAAATGACCGGATTGGCCCAAATGGACCAATCTGCGGAGCACCTCACACACCAGGATCCCTTGGCTAACTAACAGGGAGTCCCCATTGACTTGCATAGAGTGGCGAAGTCACGCCCATCTACTTCCGCCCCATGGGACCTTATTTCGGAAAAATAATGTATTGAAGTCAATGGAGAGAGAAAACGTATCTTTCGATCCCGTTTGAATTGTGCCATGAATTACACATATGATGTTTGTCAATCTTAAAAAATAATTTCCATGTCAAAAAAGTCACAGTTTGTCGTAAAACTGTTGAAATGTAAGACTATGAAAAATACGTAACTAGAAAGACTACAAATCCCAGAGTCGCGTAAGTGATGTCACAATTGTTTTCCTCCACTGAGATAAGAGATAGCTAAGATCAGCGCCATATAGATATAATCTATCTATATCGCGCTGGCTAAGATAAGATAACTTTAACAAGATGCCTGTGTGCTTAGTACCAGGTTGTTATTATACCAGCAATGGGTCTTGCTCGTTCTTTCGCTTCCCGTCTGATGAAAGGACCAGGAGTACTCTGGATCAAGCTAGCTAGTAGCTAGCACGTTAGTTAGCATTACAGCCTTGTCATTTTTATTAGCCTTAACATGAAGTAACATTAAGTAACCCACAATGTTAAACAGTAAGAGTAGTAGTCATATTTCGTGAACCCTTTGAAGAGTACTGTCACCGGTGTGATCATTCTATAATACACAATTTAAGCCCGGGGGAGAAATGCTAATGCTAGCGCTAGCGATCTTCTCTACTTCATGCTATCTGCACAAATGGTTGACATTAAACATTAAAACGACCAGGCGAAATCAAAGGAAGGCAGGCAGGCAGCTTTGCATGACATTCTTCAGGACGTGTTTCATTGTGGTGATAGTGAGGGTAGTCAATCGTTTTGTTGACAAGACAGTAGTGACGGCCATCTTGGTGATGTGTGTTGTTGACCAGAGATGTAGTTCATTGAGCGTTTCACACAAACAAATGTGTTACTTCACAGTTTTACGACACATTTTTTTTTTTTTGACTTGCAAAATTATCTTTTAAATTGACAAACATCATATGTGTAATTCGTGGCACAATTCAAACGGGATCGAAAGATAATCTTTCTCTCTCCATTGACTTCAATACATAATTTTTCCGAAATAAGGTCCCATGGAGGTCCACCGGAAGGGGAGAGACTTCGCCACTCTATAGAGCTCCCTGAACGCTGGTAATAGACGAGTTGGGATGGCGGAGAAATGCTCTCCGCAGACCCATTCTCACAGCGTTATAAACCTTTTTCTTACTCAATATCAAGCCACACTTATTGTTTTTACTTCGGCTGTGAGAGTTTGTGTGTGCTCAGGATGAGTTTCGCTTGTTCTCGCTGTATCGCCGACCCGGAAACCCGTCCGCTCCTCGCAGCAGTTCGCAGCAGCGGCGAGCAGCAATGAGCCTTGCAACGTCCCGACCAATCAGAGCACACTGGGCTCACAGGGAGGGGGGGGCAGGAGCTCCAACAAGCCGTTTAGGACAGAGAGTGAATACACATACTATACAGAGATGATGTATGAGAAACCAATGTGATTTTGGAAAATTGCACAATTTAAATCTATTCTAGTAGACCTCAACAATGGAAATATGATCAGTAGAAATGGCCATGTCATGGGACCTTTAAGGTTGAATCCTTGTTTTACACTCTTCGTCTTTCACTCCCTTTCTAAAGATAAACGCATGAAATCCCAAAGAACATACTGTACAGTATAGACTATCCGACATGAGCAGTGTTCATTGAATTAGCTTCCTATTGTCCGAAGATTTTAGACGGCTGTACAATTGATGTTTTTTCCGTGAATGTATGGTCTCCAGAGTGGAGAATCAATATGCATTTTGTTTTTCTGTGGATAAAGAAAGTTCTTCATGCCCAACCTTTCTATGATGTTGCCATGTGTAATTCATACGCAGTGGTTTAGTCTCTGCGGGTCATCTGAGGCAGATGGGGGGGAGGTCACACTGTCAGCTGGCATTTCCACGCTGCACACAAGTGACCAAGGACTTTCCTTTGAGAATCAGCCTTCATCTTTGTCCTTGGGCAATATTAGAGCTGTCAGTTGTTAGTCAAGCATCTAAGTTTCACAGATTGCATACTCAATCACACGCTGAGATGTTAGAAGAAAGTATTTGACAATAAAGTCAATGATAGATTGACAGAAGTGACAACAACAGAGGTTGATGTTGAACAGAAAGTGGGCGTCATGACTCAACCTTTGTGCTACACAATCAAATCTTTCAAGATGAAACAGCTTTCAGAATACATTACAGACAATTTGTGCCATGATAGTTTAGTTTGTTTGCAGATTGGAATATGATTAGTTTCGGTTCATAAAATATTAGACCAAATACAAATGATGACCCGCATAAGGATCACCAAACTGATTACAATTAAATCTGAGGCGTACATGAATATCTGTACCAGAATACATGGCAATCCATCCAATACTTACATTTTTAACTCAAACACACACATGTCAACTTCATGTTGGTGCAAGAGGGAATTCTAGGATTCATCCTCTGGGAATATTGAATGTATGTATATAATGTATTGCCAGTCCATCATATAGATGCAGTATTTTTGACAGTTTTAGTAAAAACTTTGACCAGCTGGTGATGCTGCAGAATAAGTCAGGGTGTAAACAACTAGGGTTCATCCACTGGGGGACATGAATGCCGACCTTTTCCAAGAGTATTGGACTGACTGACTGACAAACTGATATTGCCGTCCCAAGAGATGCTGCTAGCTTTGATAAAAATAACCCTGGTTTCTATGGGGCTGAAGCTCAATGTGGATATAAAAAAGGTATTAGACTCACTTTCATAAATCCACCAACTCATAATTCAGTGGACATGATTTTTACGTCTAATTAACAATATTTTTGTGAAAGCTAACTAAAAGAAAACAACTTGTGTTATTTAAATTAGGCTTTGAGGCACAAAACCATTCTCTCCATATTTTCTTGTTTGCCAATTTTAAGGAGTAAAAGTTGCATACTCTGCCTCATGTACCACATATCTTCAAGAAGTATTATATTGTATTTTCCATTTCCTCACTCATATGGTTTGTTTTAGCAACATTTTGAACGTTTCACGTTGATTTGTGAACGTGTCCATTAATTGAATAATATATGTACATTCGTTTTTTTATTGTAGTCTTTAAAATTGCCCCTCGAGTATATAACTTGACATTGGTTCTCATTGTGTCCACTTACAATCGGTTGAGACGGACTCCCTTTCTCCAGATGAGGCCGAACGTTGGGGGTACTTTGGTTTAATGAGAACACACACACACACACACACGCACGCACGCACGCACGCACGCACACACGCACGCACGCACGCACGCACGCACGCACGCACGCACGCACACACACACACACACACACACACACACACACACACACACACACACACACACACACACTTGGTTGGGGAGATAATGAACCAAAAGCGTGCGCATGTTCTCAGGGGAGATTATCAACAACAGTCCAGCACTCCCTCTGCTACTGTGCTGATTGACTCGGCCTCAAATTGGCTGCGATGCTTCTTCTCCTTGTGAGGAGTGAGGCCCACTGGATGCTCTCCGTCTGCTCTGACAGTGGAGAACAAAGGATATATCAAAGGTTTCCCTCTCCTGCCTTTGTCAGCTTGAGTAGGCATGATTATAATGAGTTGACCTCAGAGGAGCACAAAGGGGATTTTTCTGATTATACCAGTGAGTTCAAAGGCCATCAAAGGCATTGCAACAAACAGAGACGCAGATGTATGTAGAGACTTGGAACGGAGTGGAAAAAGTAAGGATTGGAAAACGATCGAGAACCAGAATGGCACTAGAAGAGTTTAGACCTCTGTAAAATCAGTGCCA